GGGAAATTGGTAGGAGGCGAGGAGGGAGGGAAAAGCTGGGGTGTTTCTTCCTCCCTGTCTGTGTTAGGCAGCATCCCCAGTCCTCCATGGCTTCGGCTCCCATTGGACAGACCCGTGAGTGAGCTCTAGTAGTTGCACTTCCCTCTGCTCTTTTCTCCCCCGTACCCTGCACTGCCAAGGGGTGCTAAGGGCTTCTTACTGTTCTGATCTCTGGGTGACAGACTGTTCTCAGTTGGCTTTATAGCCCTTCATCACCTGTTTAACAATTGTGCACATTACGCTTCCTTTGTTAAATACTCAGAGTGATTTCTGTTCTTCTGGTTGGACCCTGACTGATAGAAACACAACCTCTACCCACAATGACCAGTTTATATCCTGTAGTAAAGAGCCATAAGCCTGTTGGCAATCCATTTTTGTTCCAGTTGCCTGTATTAAAACACAGACTCATTTTCTTTTCACGCACATGTTTCTTACACATTTCTGGCTTAAAATGGTCATTGTATTTACTACTGGACTACTTGCTTTGAGTTTTGTTTGCCAATAGATATTATTATTTTATTCTCTTAATTACTGACCTGACTGTATACTTATTTAAGTGCTTAATTTATATCATCATTTTTTAAGTTTGTTTTGTGAAGATGCTACTGCCATGGCATAAATCTGTTCTTAACATTTACAAATAATTTAACTGCCGACTTCTGTAAAGTGTGTACCCTTTCAATAAGTACATTTCACAGGAGGCATTGAGATAGTGAAAAGGATTAAATTGGGAAATGTCCTGAATGGTGCCTGAGTTGAGCAAAATCATTTGAGATGACTTTATAGCCCTTTATAAATAATGTGTGACAGATGAGCAGACCCACTGCTGTTTTGGCTCAGTCCGATGGAGGGGAAAAAATCCATAATAAATGACTTCCTTTCATTCTGTTAGAAACATCTTTGCAGAGAACAGTGGTAGTAAGCAAATGTCAAGTTGGAAACTGACAAGCACATGGCCTGGGGTATTTTTGCCCCTGTGACTGTACATTAAGAAGAGAGGTGATTCATTTTGGGGGATTTTCGGTGGTGGTGAATATTTTCTCTAGAGGGGAGAGCATACATTTCAGATTAAACAAACAAACAAAAAAACCCTGCCATTTTCCCTATACATAACAGTTTTGTATCTGGGTTGCATTTTTTAATGTTAACACTAAAGTATTACTGAGACTAATTTTGTGTTATCCACAATCTGTACATATGTGAGATGCTGGGCTAATATATAATGCCCATATTTAAAATCTCAAAATTTAGGCCATTTTGATTTTGAAGACTCCTTGAAATAAATGACAGCCCTTGCCTAAGATGGATGGCCCTTTCAATGGTCATCTTTTATATTAGCTCCTAATGAGCATTATTGAGCCTCTGACTAATTCTGAAAAGCATTTTGGTGAATTATAATTGGGGCTGTGATTTACTGAGTATGAAGACTGACAGGCCGTTCCATACCCTATAATTGATGTAGAAGCAGAGACAAGCACCGTGATGATCAGCATTTCCCTTATGTGGGGCGGGGAGGACGGGGGCTTCAAAAGCGTCATGTAGCCAAAGTAGAATATTATTTTGTCTGCCATTTCTGAATTACTTTTATTAAAAATGGCAGGAAAACGAGCCACCAAACTTCAGAAGGGAAGTCTCGTCCACATGTTATTCAGGATATTCAGGATATTAAAGCATCTTCCATCACAGATATTTGCTGGTGTTAAATGGTTCATGATAGTCAGTGAACCACAAAATAGTCTGGATAGACCGACAGAATTCAGAATCATAGGCCAGAGGCACAGGCCACATAACCGATGATTCCTGAAAGGGTGAAATCTGGTTCTTCGTATTCTTTGGATTTATTGCAATTTGGATATGCTTATCTCCCTGTGTTCCTGAACTTCCTGGAGGAAAAGACAGACAGTCTAACATATAAATCAGAAAACTCAATCCAGATAGGCCCACAAATACATAAGAACTTCATTCTTAAATAGAAAGTAGATCTTGAGACTCCTACTTCCTTTTCCTTATATCCTTACTGTGTCATTACTGCAAATGGATTATTGACTTTTGCTTTTGCTTTATTTTAGTCTCCTGAATACTTTTCTCTGTAAGATGGCAACTCTGTGTGTGTGTGTTTGTGTGTTCCATCACATGTCAAGATAAAATGGGCCAAGGAACTGGTTTTTTTTTTTTTTCTTTTGCAAAGCAGCTAAGTCCCTATTTAATTGATATATGGACTTCCTAAGTTTCAGTACCTAATCCCTTGTGCTTTTTATACTCTTTTTCTTGCAGTCTTTATGTCATAATGTTTGGACACAACAGATAGCTCTCCTCTTTCATCTCTTGGCATCCGTGGCGCTATACCCTCCTGGTTTTTGCCTTTCTTACTACGTCTTCTTAGCTCCTTTGTTAGCTCCCTTTCCTCTCTACGAGCTCTAAATGTTGCAGTTCCCTAAAGGCTTGGTCTTCAGTCCTTCTCCCCTACAGTTGCTCTAGAGCCAAGCTCCATCCTGCCTTAGGACCCTCACACAGACTGTTGTCTTCTTGGACCACCTGCCCTCCAACCTTCCCCTAGCTGATTCTTCCTCCTCCTTCCCCTCCTCCTATCTGGACTCCATGTGCTGAACCGTTTGCTTCTCTTCAGACACACCCTGTGCTTTCCCACATCTCTTTTTCATACTTCCGCTCATTCTGGTTTCTGCTCTATGATGGCCAACTCCATTTTTCATTGCTCAGCGAAAAAGCCATGTTAGTTCATGAAAATATCTTATAATCGATCACCAGAGATTTTTAAAAATTCACATCAGCTGACATATTTCCGTACCAGTCATAGTCCTCTTCACATTTACCTCCTATTATTACTTTTGTGTATGTCTTCTATCTTCTTGTAGACTATCATCTCTTCAAAGCAAGGACTTCAACCTCATGTCTTCTACAGAACATTCTCCAGGGTCTTCCCTGTAACAGTCACACAGTAAATATGTTCTAGGTCGAAGTAATGAAAATACTCACTGCATAAAGAGAAACATTTACATTGTAGCTCACTAAGGTCCCTCACTCTCATTTCAAAAAAAATGAGGAGCTGAGTCTCTAGGATTACTACCCGTGGCTGATGAGGGCTGTTATTGATGGCGAGTTTGGTAACTCTGAGTACCTTTATGTCTGGCTCATCAGAGCAAGTGGGTTGCTGTAAATGGTGGAGAGCACCGTCAAACCCTTCTGTCACCTCACCTCTCCAAGCTGAAAACGGAGAGAGCTTCTCTTGCTTTGAGCTTCTTGTTGGTTTTCCGCTCTGCCTACTAATCAGGGCTTTGTTATTTACCTTGTTTTAAAAGACTCATCCAGACATCCTTTCTCTCCTTGGTACTGTTGGGTATTAATTTACCACTGCAGGGTACATTGGTAAAGATTTCAGAAATTGCAAGAAAGTGTTTCTTTAATCCCTCAAGTTTGCTAAGTACTTTATTATAATGGAGATCATAATCTCTTAGTTGGTGGCAGAGATGCAATAGTTACTGGGGATGTTTTTCTCTTGCTGCAAAATGATTATATTGAGAAATTCTTGGTCCAGGTTTTTGTTTGTTTGTTTGTTTGTTTTTAAGATTTTATTCAGTTAGAGAACATGCGAGTGGGGGGAAGGGCAGAAGGAGAGAGAGAATCCCAAGCAGTCTCCCCGCCGTGGAGCCCGACACAGGGCTGGGTGTCATAACCCTGAGACTCTGGCCTGAGCTGAAATCAAGATTGGGTGCTCAACTGACTGAGCCACCCACGTGCCCCACTTTGCCCAGTTTTTAAATCTTTTCCATAGGCTATAGGATCCTTAGGAAGTAAATTTTGATGGCACTGAGTTTCCTGTTTTTCATAAGGCACTGAACAGTGCTCAGGTCACTATGATTCACTTAGTGGCCTCGAGCCTTTATAGGCGAGCCTTGAAAGTAGTTTCATTAGTATTGTGCAGTAGCCGTTCATAATTACTGTGATGCTCAGAAGAGGCTGTGACTGGGGCCTCACCTTGACTGTTCAGCATAAATTGCCCACCCGGCCAGCAAGTAAGTGGTTTCAGGGCATAACTGAGAGTGAGCCTTCATGCCCTGAATCCGTACATCTCCTCCGTTTGTTCTATACCAGTCGTTAAGGGTCAGTTTCAATCTGCTCAGTGATTTCTATTCCCTAATGACTTTGTTTCTATTTTCCTCTACTTTTTTTCACACTGAAAAAATACTTGTGGCGGGGGGGGGGGGGGGGGGGGGCAGCCTCAAGTTGCAACCTATCTTAGAAACAATAACATTATTAATGTTTCTGTAGAATTTATGACATTGCTTGCTGACAGTTATTGTTTATTAAGTATTTGTGGCTTGGAGAGTACTGAGCAACAGAGAGAATATTCAGGTTCAAGGGCAGAAGATATATAGCAATGATTCCTCGTTCTGAAGGGATATTACTAAATTAAGACAAGGGCTGGTCTTTTCTAATTTGACCTCTGATTGGTAGAAGATGGCATGTCCCTGGCTCATTACTCTTCTCTGTCTGGCTCTGTTTGACATTTATCATGAGTGGGATTAGGGGAGAGACTAGAGGATCTATTTTCTGTGACCATATTAGGAAAGATAGTTTGGAATTAGGCAATTGTCCCCTAAATTCTGGGGGGAGGGGAATAAAAACCACAATTAAAAAAAAAAAAATTTAGTGTTAGTCCCAAAATGAACATTTAGCTATAATTCTAAGCATTGTAGAAATTACATTTTATTTCTTAACAGATACCAGTAAGTATTACCCAAACTTTTCAAATACAGACTTTGGGAATCAGCATTTTGCATCTCACCTGCCCTTGCCATCCACCCCCTCTCAAAGAATAGCTTTTGTGCCTACTGACCATGAAGCTTGTGAACCATAGTACGTACTTATAGGCACACAAAGCATATGTTCTCTCTAACCAGCATCACTCAGAACGAAGGAAGTAAATTTGTTGTCTTTTCCAGCAAGTCGCCAACTAATAAATCGCATTGAGCAGTTTCTAGAAACTAATGAAACACCGTATTTTATGAAGAGCATGGACTGCATCACAGTCTTCCGGGAAGAAGCCATTCAGGTAACTCTATCCTTGCTTGTCTTCCTCTTCCTAAACGGTTAGCCATCATCACACGGAAGACATACGGCACCCCACAAGTAAGCCCAGGCTTTGCAGATCATTGTTCTCACCGTGAATAGCCGTGTTGACCAAGAGATGCTGAAATGACTAAGTCTTTTTACTATCACTGTCATTTCTGAGGGGGTATAAAGATGGGTGGGATGAGTGGGTTGCTTCATCCCTGGGAGTTAGCTTTTTATGACATTAGAGCCAAGGCTGCACGATTCCTACTTAGGGAACCAGGGAGATTTCCATTGTAGTCTCTAATGACCCATGCATTAAAGGACTGGCTAACTATTTTAAAGAGATTGATGGGAAATATATATTGGTATAACTATTGAGAAGGATGTTATGAAGATGGGAGTAGGGATCTGGAATGCCAGGAAAAATTAAGAATACTGAAAATTAATTACTCAGAACCACACCCTACTTTGGATGTGGGGTTTTTGTTTGTTTTATTAGGAATTTTGAGAAAACACTGTGAAAATCTTCCAAATTATTTCTAGGCTTTTATATGTAAGCTCTAGGCAAGAGTGAGCAAGTTTAAATTAGAAAGTATATTTTTAAAGTAGGCGCAGTTGTAGTGTATGTTCTCATGTGGGTGCTTAGTAAGTATTGGCTGGGTGAGTGAACAAATTAATTCTTGAGTGGTTTAGGTTCTTACAAAGAATGATAAGAAAATGAGAAAACTGTTAAAATTAGAAGATATAGAAGTAGATGATCCAGATGCCCTACAGATAAAGACAAAATATGGGCCAAATTAAGTAGTAAAAGACTAAGGATCCTGCAGGTAAAGAAGGATCTGGCAAGTTGGGAAAAGGTGGTGAAAATGTATTGCTTTTTCAGCACTGCCCCCATTAGACGGGGCACCCAGTAACACTTCTGTGCCCTGTTGTCACCAGCTGAAATTACCAGGCCACTGGATTTCTTAAAAAATAAAAATTTTTAAAAAACGAGAGATAGAAGAGCATCAAAAGAGACTCTGAAGACATATCAGCCACTCTTAATGTCGAGAACTTTTTATGCTGCAAAACTGTACAACACACACACACACACACACACACGAAACAGAAAAAGGGTTTTCTCATTGGGAAAATGTGAATAGTGACTGGTCATTTACTCCTGTTAAGGAATTTTTAGTAGTTTTTGGTATTTTTTAAAAAGGTCCTTCTCTGTATTTTAGAAGCTGCATACCAGCATATTTATAGATGACATAATATGCTTGACATTTGCTTCCAAACAATCCCAGGGTTGTGGGGGAGGGTCGGTATATGGGGAGGCAAGACTGGCTGATTTGACAGTTGTTGAAGCTGGATGTTGGGTATATTGAGAACTCACGAAACTCTTCTATTTTTGTTTGACTATGTCTATATTGAAAGTTAAAAAGCACAGCACTGGGCCCCCCAAAAACCCGGTGCAGCTCTGAGCAGCTGTGTGCCTTCCACAGATGGAAGGATTTCTGGTTCCCCGCAAACCTAGCTGACATTTGGAATGCTAGACCGGATCTCCCGTTTACCAAAGAAGGACATTATATATTTTTCTTATAAATAATGGTGGATTTGGTATACGTAGCGCTTTGTCCTGGGAGTGACTTGTTTCTGTATTTGCTCTGACCTGACGCCCCCTCGGCCCCCACATGCCACCCCAGTTTTCAGAGGAGCAGCGCTTTAACGATTTCCTGAGAGCCCTTCGAGAGAAAGTAGAAATGAAACAGTTAAATCACTTCTGGGAAATTGTCGTTCAGGGTAAGGTGTCTTTTGTCATTTTCTCCAAATATGTATGCTGTTTTTTCCTAAATCTAAACGTAAATTATGTTGTATGGTGTGTTACGTGGCAACCTGGTGACTTTCCATGTGGATTTGGGAAAATGCTTAGGATCCAGTGAATGAAAATAACAAGGCTTAGAAGCAAGCTTAATGAACATAAATAAAAAGTGATAAATAGTGAACATGTAGGTCCTATCTTAAACTCTGTGCAGCATGACCCATTTCCAAGATGGTACCTTTTTTATTAGCTGGAAGAACCCGCGTGGGCGAACACTGCCCCCTTTCTCAGATTCTTAGACCCTTCCATCCTGCCAGCCCCACAGCACTAACACTGACCTCACCCACATTTTGCCCTTCTGCCACCTTTCGTGAGCATGTTCTTGGGCTTTCCAGATCAGCAGACGAGCGTCTTCGTGCACCAAAGCCATTCCCTCGCTTACTCACAGAGACCAGTGCAAACTTAACCTAGAAAGAAGGCAACACACACTCTTTCAGTGTTGGGCTTGATGTTGGATTTCCTTCATGCCCTGTGCCCTGTGTTTTTCACCTGACTTGATTTTCTTTCAGAACCAAGTTAAGATACTACCTATTAAAAATACCTCCTATGAAAACAATGATGTTGAAGATTATGAAACTTTTCACTTGAAGTAGGGCCCTCAGATTAGTTTGAACCTGTCTTTCTGGGCAAACTCTGTAAAAAGGAGTTGCATATCTATCTATCCAGCTTCTAAGGGGCAGCGTTTCATCACTCAGGCAACTCTTTCCCTGACAGTTAATTTTTCAGCCCTTTAACTTCTACACTGGGGAGCAAAAGCAATTAGAATAGGTGGTGAATGGGACTTACTCAAATCACTCTGGTGTCTCTGCTGCCAGCCTAGTAGATGAAGGAGATTGGTTTTGGTATTTATTGATTGCTTCCAGCATATTGTTGGCTGAAAGGAAACTTACAGGACATACACAAGGTATGCATTTTCTGAGAGCTTATATCCTATTGAGAGAATACACATGACCTGTGCCATTTCTAGGTACAAATGGATGTTAAATGTATATGCTTTCCTGAAAGTGTATCATGCATCAGCCATTTGAGGCAGAAGAAAATCTTAGGAAGAAGAGAAAACTAAAGGGTAGATTTTCTATCCTTGATTTGCTCTCACTGAGCTAAAATTGATGTATGTGCTAAATGATAGACATAACCATTGTGAGAGCATGTTTCCTCCCAGCCTGGGGCCTCTTGCCATTCCATCAGTAGCTAGTGACATTACTAGAAGTCAAAGTGTCTGCAGATTCCTATATTGGGTATCTAATGGGTTTGGGCCAAAGTATATAGTCGTTCAGTTATTTATTTACTAAGCTTGTCCATGCCCACATTGATGGGAATTGAAAGATGAATAAAACCCATTCCCTGCCCTTGAGAAAAGTATGGTCCATTAGGAGAGAGAAAATGTGTACACGTAGTTTATACAAGGTAAGATATGATGACAGCCATTTCAAAGGCATAAACAGAGTGAGCTAAAAACTCTGAAGGAGAGATTTAATCAGGGAAGACTTCATGCAGCAGGTAGCACTTGAGATGTGGCCTTTATTTTACAGAGGCTAAGTAGGAAACAGGATAATATAAGATGGAAGGAACAGTGTGAGTTAAGTGCCTTCACAGACTTCATTTCTATAGAGAAGAGCACCTGTGGAGTTTTAAAAATCTCTAATGGGAAGATGGGAGGCAGGTGTGATGGAGAGGAAGGTACGATCAGGATTGATTCTTTGCACTGGGATTTCACTCTGTGAATTACTTTTTAGATGGAATTACTCTGATCACCAAAGATGAAGCCCCTGGAAGTTCCGTCACAGCTGAGGAAGCCAAAAAGGTATTGCAGAATAACGCCATCTTTAGATGAAGTATTGTAATGAATATTATTTTCTTGATGCCCGTTCCTCCTTGAAAATTTTAAATTTTAAGAGTAACTGAATTAGTGTACTCCCAACATTCTTAACTGACCAATTGGCCAGTTCCTTTTCCTTCAACTGCAGTGTTTTTGTAGGAGAAATTGTAAACTCCCTCAGTCTTCCAAAGACTGCAGTCCTGTTTCTAGAACTCACCCGGAACTACAGTGTCATTAGCTCTAGAGCTCCTGAAGTCCTTAGTGCGTACCAAGCATAGCCGAGACATTGGTAAAGGCTGTGAAATCCAGGTAGTCCAGTGATTCCCACAAGGCCACACTTCAGTCACCTGGGGAGCTGTCATTTAAGAGGTACTGATGACCAGGCCCCGCCCCCAAAGATTCTGATAATCCAAAATGGAGTTCTGGGGGCAGGGTTTGAGTTCTTAAAGCCCCTCAGGTGATTATAATGTTAAGCAAGATAAAGAGACCCTCATATTCCAGAGTAAGGCACGTCCACAGGTGTGTTTGGTAAAAGACTCATGTATTAACACAAGTAGACCAAGGGCTCCCTGTCTGAATTGGATTCAGCTGTGAGTCAAGTACATGTGGCCATTGAGTTTAGTGATCTTTCATTATACCTCGGGTTTATGATGACAGTTAAATAAAATAGAGTACCTCAAGAGTGTATGGTTCAGGCGCCTGGGTAGCTCAGTCGTGAGGCGTCTGCCTTCGGCTCAGGTCATAATCCCAGAGTCCTGGGATCGAGCCCCACATCAGGCTCCCTACTGAGCGAGAAGCCTGCTTCTCCTTCTCCCACTCCCCCTGCTTGTGTTCCCTCTCTCGCTGTGTCTCTTTCTGTCAAATAAATACATAAAATCTTAAAAGTATATGGTTCATAACGCTGAGCTTCAGGTACAGTTTCTAACTGAGCCAGTCCTACTGGGACAGCGCCCAGCAGCTGTCAGTCACGGGCTAAAGCCTCAGCCGTCTGCTAGGCATTGTGCTGGGTAATAAGACAACACTCCTGCCCTCTAGAAACTCACTATAGGCTTGCAGAGGAAGATAACGGAGATTCAAAAACTTAGCTACACATGCTCCCGGAGAGCTTGGTCTGGGCTGGCGGAAAGGAATCTGTTAAGGGAGTGGGAATGGCAGGAACAAGGCTAGAAGTATTCAGCTTAGGGCGAAATTCAGGCCACATTTAAAAATGCCTTATAGTTTCAACTCAAAAAGGCGTTTGGCAGAAACCATAGTATTTTTTGGGAAAGAAGTTAGATTATATGAGAATTTGTATTAAGTATACTTTGCCTGGCAAAAGCATTTTGTTAAAGAACATATATGGTCCCTGCTTTCAGGAAGTAAAATCCTGGAATTTTAGAAGCACACACTAACATGCTGATGATTGTCTCAGAAGGGGCTCCACTGTGTCTGTACCCTCTCCCACCAGTCAGTGCTATAAATATGTCAGTACTCGAGAGGATGTCATTTAACTGCTTGATTTTATTTGTTTGTTACTTCATACAATGGCATGATAATATTTCCCCTTGGAACTGGAGTGTATCATTCAGTGCTCTCCAGAGAAAAAGAACCAATAGACTATATATATGGATGTGTGTGTGTGTGTGTGGGTTGGGAAGAGATTTATTTATTTTAAAGAATTGGCTCATGAAATTGTAGAGACTGGCAAATCTGAAATTTGTAAGACAGGCCAGCAGGCTAGAAATTCAGGCAAGATTTCCATGGTACCGTCCTGAGGCAGGTTTCCTTCAGCTGATTGAATGAGGCCCACCAATATGACCAAGGGTAATCTTCACTTCAGATCAGCTGATTATAAATGTTAATCATATCTACAGAATACCTTCACAGCAACATCCAGACTAGGGTTTAGCACCACAACTGGGCACTGTGGTCCAAGCCAGGTGGACACATAAAATTAACCATCACTTAGCATGAAGGCTTATCAATCAGCTTTTGCTAAACAAGTAAAATAAGTCAAGACAAATAATTTAATTTTTAGTCATTATTGCATTTTATTTTTAATTTTTTAAAAAGATTTTATTTATTTGAGAGAGAAAGAGAACTCCAGCAGGGGGAGGCACAGGGGGAGAAGCAGAATCCCCAATGAGCTGGGAGCCCGATGTGGGGCTCGATCCCAGGACCATGAGATCATGACCTGAGCTGAAGGCAGTCGCCTCAACTGATTGAGCCACTCACTTGCCCTAGTCATTATTGCATTTAAAAAATTGTCACCGAGGTGAGAGTTAAGTACATGTTATTGTTATTGAAGGAAGAGGAGAGCAGCGATCTAAAAAAGGTCGTATTTTTCCTCTCGGCAGTATAGTGCATCTTAACCAAAGGTGTCATAGCTAAGTGAGTCCAGAATAGTAGAGAGGCAAGAAATCTAAGAAGGGATGACATGCTTCTTGCAAATTGTCTGAGGCTTGTTCTGTGCTGCAAAGGCAGTGTCTTCTTTGGAACTTCATGGCCCAGAGCCTAACCGTGGGGAATTGTGCTGTCCATTCAGCTGCAGAGAGGACTTTGAGTTAATGACGAGGTTTGGGGAGGTGTCCTTGCGTGCTTCCAGTGTCAGCGGCACTGATTTCAGTTGGTCGTAATTGAAGACAACTCTTGAGAACTTGCCATCTTTTTTCTTTCCAAAACATTTATTTTGTTTTTCAGGGGGGAGACATAATCCTTTGTATCAAAAATGTTTTTAAATGGCACCTGTAGGTTTTTGGAGTGAAGTGTGGAAGAGAGTGTGCACACATCGAGGGTGATGGGGAGAATCACTGGGGGCAAGTCTGGCTCAGAGCAGCCCGCTCCATGTGGTTTCCAGGAGAGAGGACACACATCAGCCCGCTCAGGGAGGGGAGTCCCTTCTGACAGTGCACTGCAGTAGAGCGCCTTCAAAGGAGGCGTTTGTCAAGTTTGGTCGATCCCCATATAATCAGTTAAGGAAACCTGACTATAATCGAGGTTGAAGAGCAGTACTCACGGCCCATTTCAAGTCTTCCAAGACACGTAAGTTATTTAAAGTTAGCAAGCTGTCAAATTATCTGTGTTAAATGTTGATGATTTAAAAGGAAATAATTATCCAGAGATGTCCATTTTAAATGAAAATTAGATCATAACTTTACACTTGCACCTCTTAAGGAGGGCCATTTGTCTTTGGTGTATTCTAGAAAATAGAATTTATGACTCTGAGAAAATAGACTTTATGACTCTGAGAAATCTAGGTAAGTCAGTCCTGCTACAGAAATAGAAATTTCTTCCACGACGTAAGTTTTAAATAGCCACTTTCTTTTAAATTCACTGACCGTGCTCATTTCATTTTGAAGCCTGGGCATAACCATGATGCCATTTTCACATTTTTATTGTCGCTATAACCTGTCCATTCTTTCACCTCACTTTTTCTCTTTCTGTTTGTTACTGTTAGACGCACCATTAGCACTTGGTGTTTGGTAATCTCAGTACTGTTCTCAGGGCGTGGCTCTGTGGTGGACTTGTCCCGTGCGGCTAATCCTGGCACGTTCCAGGAGCATCCAGAAGGTTCTTTGCCTCAGGCCACCATCAGTAAAACACCTGAACTTGTGGGAGGTTAGAAGAGGCTGATTCATCATTTGAAGTTTATCTTCTTTATCAAAGAATTTTTTCTTTTCCTTTTTAAAATAAGTTTCTGTTTGCTAACCTGTGTTAGGGTTAGGACAGTGACTCTCTACCAAGAATGATCACACAGGGGCTGCTACTGACTCCTAGTGACCAGAGGCCAGGGATGTTGGGAAACAACAGCCAGCACCCACGTCAAGAATTAATCTGGCCCAATATGTTGATAATGATGTTAGGAAGCCCTGGGTTAGAAGAATTAAAACAAGCCAGATCCTTAACTCAGGCAGAGGAAATTGGCTAGTTGTATATAATTTTATTCAGCTGGAAAGAATTCTAATGATCTTCAAATGGAGTTTTTATTTTTAAAACTAAAGCTTACAGGGAGGCCTGATCTCTGAAACAGAGAAAGGTGCTGCTTCTCAGTGGGTGGTGGGAGTGGCAGGGTGGGATTACCCATGCACGGGGGCTTGGAAGAACACTCAGGACCTTAAGGAACAGAACCTGAAAAACACTGATCTAGTCCAAACTCCTTATTTTGCAGATGAAGAAATTGAGGGCCCCGAGAAAGAAAATAACATGGCTGAGATCTCTTAGTAAGTCCCTGGCGAGGAGTCTTGCTCTAGGACTGACTCCGGGTCCTCCATTCTTTTTACTCCATAGTAATAGCACAGAGGGGAGAGAGGACTAGCCCTGTGGCTTTGTCGTATTGTACCTCACAGGATCCCAAAGGGCCAAGCTGTATCTAAATAATCATTTGATTTGAACTTGGAAGGGGGGCAGGTATCTTTTTAGCACCTGTTTTCCTGGTGGCTGCCCAGTCTGGCCTTCTTTATTGTTGTTGACATTGATTTTCCCCTGCAGCCTCATAGGTGATAGGAGTTTAGCAGTCTGGTCATTTTACAGACTCCATCTAGAGAGGTGACGTTGACTTGCAGTGTCTCCTGGCAAGTTGATGGCTGGCAGAATTGACTAGAATCAAGAGCCCTGCAGTCCTAGGACAGTCCTCCTCCTGCCACACCATGATGCCACCTCTCCATGCCTCCACCTTAGAACGCTACCAGCCACATCTACACACGGGAAAGATGCTCGGGGTCCCTCTCGAAGGAGTGCACCCGGTTTTCAGTGTGTGAGTTTGTAAGAGATCTTTGAAGTCTTGTGAGGGTTACAAGATAAAGTTTAAGAATCATTTCTTGAGATCAGTTTTCTTTACCTGTCTTCTGTTGACTCCATGATATTTTTTCTTTGCTCTTTTCCACTTTCCTTCTCTGCCATAAATCTCTGGTGGAGTTATTCTGTATGCTAATTCAAGGAAAAGCAATAAGGAAGGTACCACAATTTTACCTCATATTTGTTTAGAGCTTGATACTTTTTTAAAATTTAATTTTTTGTGTGTATATTCCAAAATTCATTGTTTATGTACCTCACCCAGTGCTTTTAATACACAATTTTATAAAAATACTGTTGAGGTAGAACATAACATGCAATAAATGCACGGATCTCAAATGTGCAACCTGGTAAAGCCCACGGCTATAGGCGTCCGCCACCCAGATCGAAACACAGAACATTTACGTCTCTCTGGAAGCCTCCCTGTGCCCTTCACAGTCAGGAACCCCCGGCCCCCGAGGTTACCACTCTTCTGACACCTGTCACTGGAGAGCAGTTTTGCCTATCCTTAACTTTATTCATCCATGATGTTAGAGTTGTTCTTTCTGTATTATGACTATAGACTACTCCCTTTTATGGTTATCGCACAATGTATTTATGCATTCTCCTGATAATGGGCATTTGATTGTTTCCACACTTTGGCAATTATGAGTAAAAATGCCGTAGACACTTTTTTAAAGATTTATTTATCTGTTTTAGAGAGAGAGGGAGAAAGAGAGCAAGGGAAGGGGCAGAAGGAAAGAGGGAGAGAGAATCTCAAGCAGATTCCCTACTGAGTCGGAGTCTGACATGGGGCTCAGTCCCATGACCCTGAGATCATGACCTGAGCCAAAATCAGGAGTCGGACACCTCACTGACTTAGCCACCCAGGTGCCACTAAAAATGCTATGGATACTCTTGCACCTGTCATTTGGTGGACATGTATTGGGCATTTTCCTAGGAATTGGAACATACAGTCTACAATATGACAGAGCAAGTTTGCATACTTTATTTCATCTGAGACTCGCTGCAACCCTATGCGATAGGGTGAGCAGTAGTATTCTTATTTTGTTAATTATAGAAAGGTCAAGCAGCTTGCCCAGGGTTTCTGAGGAACTAACACAGCTAAGGTTAGGGTTTTGTTCTCCTACACTAAGTTGTAGGATTTCTCTCCTATGCAATGCTGCCTTTATAACACTGAACATTGAACTCAGATGTATGTCCTTTTAGACAAAATATATGCAAACCGACTTGTCCTTCCTGATGCTTCTATATGTCTGAATTATGGGTGAGTCTTTGGAATCACCTGATAGTGTCGGAGTCAGCCCAGTGGAAGCCATGTGATTTTAATTTGGGATTGGTAATGATCTGAGCATGAGGTGATTGTTAGTTTTTAGTCTTCTGGAGGGATTAGACTGGAAATTTCTGTACAGGTGGTATTGACTCCATTTCTCTGCTTGTGTCCAGGATCGTACTTTAGTGTGCTTGCAAAGTAATAGTTCATCCAATTCATAAAGCTCTCCAAGTAAGGACACTTTTTCTTGGTAACCTCAAGTAAATCCTGGTGGTTTGAGGAAGGAGGAGTGTGTCACACAAGTGTCCTTTCTGTTTGCTCTCGACTTCTGAGCATAGCAGAGGGAAAGAACACAAGAGAAGATGAGAGCTGGCTCCTGCCCCTTCCTGCTGCATTCAGAGAATCTCCTGCTTTTATTGAGAAAGCAGGCCAGCCATTGAATTCTCTGCTGTATCTCTAGCTTCCCATCACACTGCACAGCCTGCAAATTACTTGCAGTTAAAAACTGATGAAGAGGAGTGATATGTGTAAGGGATCAGCCTTGCCTGGGGCTTTGAGGAGATAACGGATGGTGGCCCAGCTCTTAGCCATCATTTGCTTATGCAGAAGTACATTGCGGATCTGCCAGGAAAATCACTTGCAGATGTTTAGAACTTGATGGAAGTGAGAGTTTGCCTGCTGCTGCTCCTGCCTTCCTAGGACCTTGGCCTAGTCTCCAAGATGTGCCATTGTGTTTAACTGTATGTAGCGCGGTCACACCGTGCAGACAGCCCTGTCCTCGTTTATCTGGCAGCTGGGAAAGGGGCTGTGCGGTGAGGAGGGGATGGAGTTGGGGGCTTGTAGAGGCTGTGTGCCAGGAAATGTTGGGATTTCCTGGATTGGGACCTACCATGCCTCCTCTTACCAGGGATGATAAAGGATGTGGTGGACGGCAGAACCGCTGAGTCCAGGGAGTTTGTCGGTCTTCAGAAGGTGCTCAGTGGGTTAAAGCCTCTGCCTTCGGCTCAGGTTATGATCCCAGGGTCTTGGGATAGAGCCCCGCATCGGGCTCTCTGCTCAGCGGGGAGCCTGCTTCCTCCTCTCTCTCTGCCTGTCTCTCTGCCTTCTTGTGATCTCTGTCAAGTAAATACATAAAATCTTTAAAAAAAAAAAAAAGAACAAAGTAAAAACCACTTGTAGTAATGATAATTAGGATCACAGTCTAGAGTTTCCTAGATATCTTGGAATCTAGGCTAGAACAGTTTAATCTTTAGACATACACCACATGCAAATACATGTGTGAATAATTTATCTGTACTTGGCCCTCAGATATCTTTATTAATCATCAGCCAAAGTAAATAAATAGGATTAATGATACAGAAGCTCCTTTACAGTTCTGTTGCAGACTAGACCTCTCCACCCCCCTTGCTCGCCTTTCCTACCTCTCATACCATTGATTCCCAGTGTTGGGCATGGTCCAATTTAAGGTCAATAAGGGCTATGGAGAGATCCATAAATGTCCTTAGAAGAAGGTTAATTCCTTGCTCTCTCAGTCAAAACTGAAATTAATGAATGGTGAGGTGGTTTTGACCAAGGGAAAACAAAGTCCAGGAGGGAGGTTGAGTCAAAAGCAAACCGTCACGGCCATGTCCACAGTTCCAGTTCTGCCAGTACAGCCTCCACTGTCGCCTCTTGTTCCCTGTGTGTGTGAGTTTCTGGACACGAGGGACAGAAGGACCTGCAGCACTGGCTTCCTGAGACTTGCTGCACAAGTCTGCACTTGAGACTTGAGACTTGCTCTTGAGACTTGCGGCACTCGAGCCTAAAGTTTAAAAGAGAGACTTGAGTTCACGGTTCGTCAGAGATATATTTTAACCTATTTGTGAGGTTTCAGAGGTCTCAGTGGTGTCCATTGTATCATAACAGGAATGTACAGGGAAGGCAGTTCTTGCCATGTCTTCATGCTGAGGTAGTGAGAAGAGTAGAACTATACCTTTCCATCCTGGGTGGAGGCAGCTGCGGGGGAGCAGAGGGGGCTGGGGGGGGGGCTGGAAAGCTGGCTCAGTGTGTGCGTGCTCTGTGCACATGGACCCTGAGGAATGCTGACAGGGAGCGGGATGCCCCACCTTCCACCTCCCCCCTTTAAAAACACTCCTTTAGGTTTGGCTCTGCTGCCATTTCAGACATGATAGCGGAAGGTAGATCACCTTCGGGTGTTAGATAAGTGGTTCACAAAAACCTAGCTCTTAGATGCAGTGACTACATGCCTTGAGGAAAGGAGACCCCACTGCTCTTTCCTAGAGGGACAGGACAGAGAGCAGAAGTGTTCAGATGATTTTCAAGGGCACCCAGTACCCTTTCAAAACCTGAAATTCATCCCTAGATCCTTGCAGACTTCAAGGCCCTTGCTTTTCTGCACATCTGCTGTTTAGAAGCTCCAGGTCTAGAATACTAATGCTGAGCAGAAGCATGCACTAGAAACTTCCTCATCCACCTTCCTTTTCATATATTTCCTAACGCTATTTGAAGGATTTCCAGAAAAGGAATTGCCTAGCCTCCTAAAAGCTCCCGCATTTTTGTGTTTCACATCATTTACAGGAAGTCCTTCCTTTTGTCCTCGGTAGAGTTGAGGAATGAGATTCTAATTGTTGAGTTCAAACACTTGATTCTTATGCTCCTTTCAGGAGAGACCAAGACATACTGGTTTGGGGAGTCTGGTTCTGTTCCTAACCCTAATGTGCACACATATCCCCTGTGGAAGCAGAAATGGGAATATTGGGTGTCCTCTGCACCTGATATGGGCCCTCCCTGGGGTCACTGCCTTGGCGAGCCATGTTGTTTCCTCCCTCTTCACAAGAGGGAGTGAGTGACTCCCTTGGTGACGAGTGAGTGTGGGCTATTCAACTTCAAAATCATTCCTCTCCTCCAGGGCCAGAGGAAGGCGTGGTTTCTTTGAGGCCATTGCAGTGACACTTTGGGGATGAGTGGGCCTTCTTAGATCTGCCTGTGGCGCTGCTAGGAGACCATGCCCTCCATCCAAAGAGGCAAAAATGTCACTGTGGTGTCCCTGACTTTCTTTTCACAGTTCCTGGAGCCTAAAGAAAATCCAGATGAAGACACAGCAGCCGTATTTGCAGAAGGTGGTGACGTGGATGATTTAGTAAGTGCTTTTAATACATACCAGGTGTTCTCTGGATTGACATCGCCCGAGCCGTAAACACAGCCACAGCGCTGCTTACCGTGGACTTGTTTCTTGTTTGGGTTTTAATTGCTGACACACCAGAAGCTCCCCTCACTATTATTTATTGCCATTATAAATTTAACCAGATAGGTAATTTCATAATGGAAATTCCTGTGCTCTCTGGTTTCACTTATATTGTTCGTTCAGCTTAATCCTCTCCTGTGAAGGACTGGAAAGAGCTGGCGAGGCCATTCCTTTAGTAGCAGAATGTCATAATTTACTGAAATTGCTCTCAACCCAAATAAGCAATACAACATGCAATTTGTGTGGGTTGACAAATAAAAACAGCTTTTCAGAAGCCTAATTCTTGAATGTTCTCAATTAACTTAATGTAAACAAAATCGGCTGATAGGCGTTTGGGGGTTTCTGGACCTTCTCACGCCAGCCACGTCTGGGTGCCTGGGAGGCAGTGTAAGTGTTGGCTTTGTATCCACCTTTCACGTGTGGAGACTTCCTGCCTATAAGCCTCACGTGACAGCTGATTCCAGTAAACACTCTCAGTCTTTTTGTGGAGAAGTCCTTAGCTGGTAATGAGACACTTGGTATTTAATGCCTATAATAAGTAGCAGCGAGCCGGTGCGCAAGTCCAGCTCTGCCACTGGTGAGGAGAGCCGTTGTTGTTAAATGGTCTCCCACCGGAGAGGCAGTGGTCCAGAGTTGGCTCCTTTCTAAAAGTGTTGTTTTTGTTCACAGCTGGACTTGATTTAGGTCATGGCTGCGTGGGGAATCTACGAGAGTTGCCATCGCTGTCACGCTGGGAGCTCTGTCCAGAGGATGCCCTTCAAGGGGAACAAGAAGCTCTGGAGATGGTCCCCATAGGTCATGTGGAAGTGACTCTCCTAATTCTCTGGAATGAATATTTACATATGTAAGGGATAATTTCGATCCCATACACGTTTATAAAGAATCCTTGTTATTTTCTCATTGGTGTATTATTTCTTTTGTGGTCTTTATTGATCTCAGTGTATAATGCCCATACTTTGAAGTTTCTGGAAAATGGATTTCCTCCTGACCTGGTATGTTGGTGAGGATTGCAGCCCCCATGAAGCTTTCTTGTCCAGAACTATGGCATGTCACTGGTGAGTTCCTCAGTTCTCTCCCAGAGGTGGAGTCCTCAGTCGGATCCTCCAGCGGCAGTCACAACTGTGTTGATCCAATGGTGGCATTAGTTTCTTACCAGCAGAAGGATGGGTTTGGGAAATCATGGCTAAGGGCTGGCTGTCTCTTTTTATTTAAGCCTTTGAGTCTCCACATTACATCAGCTGTGTGTATAGGTGGTTTCCTTAAGCAGGGCGGGAGGGGGAGCACCACTTCCCCACATATTGAACTGTGGCAGTGCTCTCTGGAAGAAATGACAGCCTTTTGGCCCAGCCTCTGACATATCAGCAAACCCTAAAAAAGAAAAGAAAACAAAATGCAGAGATTCACCCCCCCTAGTTAGGATTTTATCATTTCATTACTGCCTGCTTAACAGTTTCACAGAGAGAAAGTATGGTTGTGTTCAAACACTTCTTCCTTAATTTCCCATTCTTCTCCATTTCTACCTGAGTCTTCTTTCCGCTCTGTCTGGGTGATGTTTCCTTTCTTAAAATAAGAAAATAGCAATTCTTGAATGTCCCCTTTTTTCCCCCAGACCTCATTCCTTCCCTGAGTTCTAACTCCTTCCTTGGTATCCCAAACTCCACGGTGCCCAGTCTCCCCTATCCTCCGCACCCCTGTAAAAGGTCACTGCTTCCCTTCATTTTGCAAAGGTAATATTAAAGGTATAAATGGCTGGATATAAGTATAGATAAATGGTTGTCACTCATTATGAATCATCTCCGAAAGAATTTTTCAGTGCTGTGCTGGGAATTAGAGATCCTCTGTGCATTGCTTGAAAACAACCCTCCACAACAGAACATTGTTCAGTCGGCTGAGTTGAGAGAGGAGTGGTTCACTTGAGCCTCTAGGACACCCCCTCAATACTGTGCACACCTTAGCCAGTCTTTTTTTTTTTTTTTTAAGATTTTATTTATTTATTTGGCAGAGAACACAAGCAAGGGGAGCGGCAGAGGGAGAGGGAGAAGCAGGCTCCCCGCTGAGCAAGGGGCCCGATGAGGGGCTTGATCCCAGGACCCTGGGATCACGACCTGAGCCAAAGGCAGCTGCTTAACCAACTGAGCCACCCAGGTGCCCCCACCTTAGTCAGTCTTGATATCCAGGTGCCCATTTGAAGCAACCCCCATGAAGGATGCCATCTGTATCTTACTGTCTAGTGAGTGGTTGGAGCCCAGAGGATGTTTGTGACCTGGACAGATCTGAACCATTTCATATGAAGAAGGAAAACTTTGTACTCTAAATTCTGTATTATGCTCATCGGATCCACCTGGGGGTATGAATGAGGTCAGTGGGTATGGCCTGATAAGATTGAATCACTGGTCTTTGGCAGTTTGTGAAGTTCCCTCTTGGAGACAGCCCTTCTGTCTCCAGCCCTTCAGACCGGGAAGAGTTTGAATCCTGTTAGTTATTTAGATCTGATACTTGCTGATTTGTGTTGTGCATTGTGGGATTATTTGTGCTTCTCTAACCCCACTTTGACCTAAATTATCTGAATACCTGAAGAAAGAGGTGAGTTTAACACTCTAGGGAGAGAGAGGATAAAATTAGCCATGGAGTGTCTGAATCCATATCCTGTAGGCACAGTGTATGGGCTGTGTGTCTTCAGTCAGAGCACACTCTTGTGAGGAACGGCATGTGTGATGTTCCGGTTGGGCGCCCCGAGGTCCCATTTCCCTGAGACGAGTTTTGCAGATCTGGAGAACTCCCTGGCGTTCTGCCCACTGTGACCTAGAGAGTAGCAAGTGGTAGTACAGGATCGTCCGCCAGCCACGGCTAGGCCTCGGAAGCCTGTCTGTCTCACAGATGATAGGTTTGCATGGCGGTCGGAAGTCACGGGCCATCATCTCTGCCACCTTTGGTCTTCTGTGGCACTAACACATACTGACTTAGAGAGGAGGTGAGATAAAGGAGGGGACCCCCCCCCACAGCCCCTCAGTCACAACCCAAATGCCCCCTCAAGGGTACATGCTGCCCCCCTGTTAAGAACCACTTCTAAATGTTGGAGTTTGATTGCCATTTAATTTACATATAAAATTAGAATCTTGGAAAATTATTTAGAAAACCATGTTGAGAACAGGCTTTTTTTTTTTTCCTAGTCCCTGATGGCTTTGAAAATAAGTGCACACGTACATATTTCTGTTTGGAATATGTTCGGTGGTAATGACTGTCTTTGCAGCTGATATGATGTAAGCAACAGATTTTCTGTTTGGTCCACTGTCTCCCCTTGGCCCCCTTTGCTCCCAGTACTGTAGGTTCAGAGCCCAAGCTGGTCACTCATTTAGAGTCGCTGCCCAGAGGGGTTGCAGCATGGGTAGGGAAAGACACTAGGCTAGCCCAGATCTGAAATCGGTTCTGCCTCTGGTGCGTGCTGTCTGACCTTTGTCATCGCGCCCAACTGGTTACCGGCCTTAGAGCAAGCCTGTGAGCGAACTTTGTAAACTGCAACATGTTTTATTCAGAAAAAGCCTTATGGTCTTATGAAAACCCAAAATAGAGGGTACGGGCAGAACTTTAGAGTAGGTCCGCCTTCCTGTCTTTATTTCTGTCTTCTTTCTTTTAGAACCTTGAATATACCAGCGCGAAGTTTCATAATTATCTGTTGCTGTTTTACTTAGGCTTTCTTTCTAGTTATTACATGAAAATTAGAGTCTCAGTGTGGTTACGGTGGGGTTAGGACCAGGGTTGGTGTTGACGGTTTGGTCAGGTAGCCATGTGTACCGGTTTGCTTGGGCATTACTGTCCTGCCGCCATCAATGTCATCATCGTAACGCCCTTTTGCACGCTCCAAAGTGGCCTTTTAATGGGGATTTTAGATTATATTGTCCTCCTAGATTTTGACCACGTTAAGTTAGTACAAAACCAGGGCCCAAGGAATGGCCATATCCTCCTGCGTTGCCAAATACCCCTTTCCCTTTAACGCCCTGCGGGAACTCAGTACATAGAGCAGACAGCAAAGTGGAAACCAGCACAGAAGAACAGCTCAGGGCTTCATCTTAGAGTCTGCTGCCTACATCCAGGTTTTGCCCCCAGCCGGCGGCGGGGCCTGGGACAGAGCAGGAACATCGTTCTTGTCTGGCCGGCAGCATGGAGCAGAAGTGGAAATGCCTATGGAGGTTAGTGTACATACAACCTGTCGGGTTTAATGACCTCTAATAAACACATTCCAGTCACCAGTCACATTTGTAAGTCCTCCTCCCTCTAGCGGGAGACTATCCGGAGGGTGATGGGGACACAGGGCTTCCTCCAGCTTACACTGGCCCTTCCATGTAGGTCAGTCCCCCTGATCGTAGTTAAAATCCCAGCTTGGTAGTTTGGCTTCCTGCGGTCACCTTGGAAAGAAAGGAAGCACCTCTTTTCTCCATCTGAACCTAACTCCAGACTCAATTTACTTCTGTTCTTTAGAGAGACATAATGCCATAGCGTTTCCATAGTGCTGCATGCTCGAGACTCCTAGTTTATTAAAGCCTAATGTCACTAACACTTGACAGCTCTGTGGCCCTAGCAGGTCCCTTAACCTCTGTGAGCAACAGAATAACGGAGTCACTTGTGTTTCATCTGTGGGCAGGATGGCCTAGGAGAAGACAGGACCTTCTCAGTCAAAGGGGGGTTCATATCTATAGCTTTGCAGGGGCTGCTTGAATAATGGGAACGGAGCAGGTGCCGTAGGTAGAGAAGAGGCAACTCATTCCCAGCCTTACAGTTTGCATTTCCCAGGCCCACCTGCCTTTTGCTCTGCAGATCGCAGGTGGGCAAGTGCTTTGCCAAGCCCCAGAGCATGTGTCTTATATCATGTCTTAGCTTGGGCGAACCTCTGGTTTTCTCTCTGCCCTCTCACCATTTCAGGATGCAGGGAACGATGGGAGCCCCTACAGGGCTAGAGTGAGGATCCGTGAGCACATGGTGGGACAGCAGGTTAGGGAGAGACCTATTGGAGGAAGATGACGCCGCGGGGAAGCTTGAGGAAACAGACATGGCAATGGTCATGTTCTGGCTAATTGCCACCCTTTCTTTTGATGAACGTTATGTTATAAATGAGGGGGGAGTTGTAGAGGGTGGTGAAGAGAAAGAGGAGAGGTTGGCCAGCTGGCAGGAAGGGGGACTTCAGTGATGAGGGAAGCACAGTCCTCCCTAAGGCATTGTATTCTTAGTTCTGTCCGGTGGGGGGTGTGAGGGAGTCTTCCGCCTCCCCACTCCATTCAGTGAAATGCTCACTCCTCACTAATGTGTCTGGAATCGGTTATTTCAGGGCTGCATGTGAGCTGTGAACCCTGACCTGCTCCAGGGAAGGCAGGGGTGAGACAGGCTGACCACGGGGGTGGTCCAGTCATCTCTGCATGACATGGATTCCTTAAGGTTTCAACCTGAAATCAGTCACATGTACGCGACTTTTAACCCGGCCCCTTCCTTAGGTAACACTGTGTGCCCCAAGCCTTGATTCTGTGGCCAGAAGCAAACATCTGTTATTCCCTTTTCAGAAGTGAGAACACAAATGACTTCTATTCTTAAAAGTAACCGTCCATAACAGCTTGGCACGGAAAACACAGAATGGTAGCGTGTGTGACACGTTTGTTGCTGCTCATAGTTGGAAAGTTTCACTCCAAGCTGTTGGGTGTGGATTTATTTAACTGGGGGAAATGGGGCAAGATCCGACACCTCATCAAAGATGCAGACACACGTTCCCTGCGGCCACGTGGCTTTTGTGTATTTCACAGGACGCTTTGTCTGTTCCGACGCGAAGACTCTTCCCGCCCTGTGGAGGGATCTCCAGGGATTCCGAAAACAGGAAGGAGATTCCTTCCCTTCTCTGCTGGTCTGCCTTAGAAACA